AAAAAAAGTAGAGGACAATAAATGCTGGTGAGGATGTGGAGAGACTAGGATGCTCCTGCATTTCTAGTGGGATTGAAAAATGGTCCAACCATTCTGTAAAGCAATATGGCACTTCCTCAGAAGGTTGGGAATAGAAATACCTTATGATCCAGCAATCCCTCTGCTTGGTATTTACCCACAAGAAATACGAACCATAACATGAGTAGATAGATGCACACCAATGTTCACAGCAGCTCTATTTACAATAGCAAAAAGATGGAGACAGCCTAAGTGCCTATCAACTGAAGAATGAATAAACAAACTGTGGTACATACACACAATGAAATATCATGCTACCTTGAAGAACAACAAGGAAGCTGCAAGCCACCACATAACATGGATGAACCATGAGGACATTATGTTGAATGAAATTAGTCCATCACAAAAGGAGAAATACTGCATAAGACCACTATTGTAAAAGACTAAGAAAAATAACCCATACTAAAGCGGGGTGGGGGGGAATCCTTTGCTGCTTACCAGGAAGCAGGAGATGAGATAAGGGGAAGGAGGGGAAGGTGGAACACAGCATAGAGAATAGACACAGGATAGCTTGTGTGCTGGGGAGGGGAGCAATACACAAGAAGGGGGAGGGGAATGGAAGAACAAGGCTGATGGGAAAGCAATTAGACAGGTTTGCATGGGCTTAGTGGGACAGAGGTAAATAATGATGTATACACAACCTTGGAACAACAGGGCTCTGGGATACAGGGATTGTGGCATGGTTAGAATGGACAAAAGGGGGGAAATAATGTTAAGATGCTTGGCTGTCTTTTGAATCTTGGTTTCCTTTTCGTGCCATTATAAAATAGACACTAGAAGGAGAGAAAGAAATAGCCAGAAATATCACCATAGAAAGTTTGTAAGTCCATCTTCTGCCTATAACAGATTGGAATACCTAAAATGGGAATACAACATTCCCAGTGAAGGAGGCTTCCTGTGGAGCCTTTGCATTGCATAAGACCATAGGTGAAATCCTGAACCCAATCCAGAGTCCTCTGAGGTGGGAAATTCCCACTTGAAAGGACAAGCAGACCAGTCTGGAGCGGCTAGAAGACCAGAAGATACTTTTTGAAAGAAAGATCAGTGGGAAAAATACAAAACAATAATGGCAGTCTAACAGATTACTACAAGAATAAGCAAGTTGAGTTTCCAATTAAAACCAAACGGCCACAGCTGGCCCTGAGCTATTTCCAAGTAGAAACAAGTCCTGAACGGGGATTGTGGAGTGGGACAAGCAGACAAAAGAGGAAATAGGCCGAAAATAAAATCCTAAATTACATCAAAACGACCAACAGTGGTATCTTGAAACTTCTCAGGAAGAAGAGTGAAAAGGGAAGCCCATTTCCTGATCACATCTAC